TGAGTGTAGAGATGGGTTAAAGTCAATCAAATCACCAATATAAGACTTGGATTTTTCACTTTGTTAATATCTTCAATAGTCTGATATTCTACAAAGATTATATCACGGTTTTGACAACTTTTTTTTTCAACTGGGTCATAGCATTGTAACCAAACTCATCTTGCTCATAGCCAATGAAAATACACTGCTTAGTCTCGGCATCTAACTTGAACCTTTTATATTTGGGAACGTGCAAAAAAACATTTACAACCAAATACTCGTAGGTATTCATAGGAACATTTATACTATACCAGAACCTATTAGGAACATCATTTCCCAATGCAACAGTGAGAGTTAAATTGATCACATGTGCGACAGTATATAAAACTTTATTCCAAAAAGAGTTAGACAATTTAGACTCTGAAAGCACGCATCTGACTCTCTCCGTCAATGCTATGTTCATCATTTCTATCAGACCATTCAAGTGACGAGTTTTAGGAGGTGTCTTCTGATGTTTGATACTATGTTCTTTGTAATATGCATCAAAATGCCCACAACACTCACCACCATTATCAATGCAAATATATTTCAACTTTTTTTCAGTTTCTCTCTCAGGAGAAGCTTGAAATTCTTTAAATACACCAAACACTTGATTTTTTGACTTTAAGGTACGAACCCAATGTCTAATTGAATAATCATCAATAAAGGTCATAAAGTAAAGTGCACTACCAAATAACTTATCATTCAAAGGATCACAAACATCTAAATGCACTAGCTCAAACAAATCATCTTTTATGGACGAAGAATGATGTTTGAAAGAAACTCTCTTTTGTTTTTCAACCAAACAATGAGTACATATGTCTAGCCTTGTACCTTTTAATCCTGAAAGTAAATTCCTTTTAGTTAGACAATTAAGTCTCTTATCACTAATATGACTCAGTCTCTTGTGTCATAATTATGATGAGCTATCACCTTAAACTGCATTAACAAGATCTATAGAGATTGAAGCTTGCAACCAATATAAGTTCGAAGCCTTCTTTCCTCTACCTATAACTAAGGAATCTTTGCTGAGTTTACATTGCCCATCATTAAAAATGCTGCAATAGTCATCATCATCAATCTTACTAGTGGAAATTAAATGTAACCTAATGTGTGGAGCATGTCTAACATTCTTGAGCTCTAACTTTGTTTTATTTCGGGTCTCTAAATAAATAGTTTCAATACTTGTCATATTTGACACTCCATCATTACCCATCTTCAAAATCCCAAAATCACCTGGAGTATAAGATGTGAAGAATTCATTCTTTGATGTAACATGAAAGCACGCACCACTGTCAATAACCCAAACAGTATCTTCTTAGGCTACATTGATCATATTCTCTTGATAAATTATAGCCAAATCGTCATCTGAAGTGGTAGTGGCAACACGATCAGTAATGTTGTCATTTTCCTTTTTTTCTTGCTTCCATTTGTCTACTATGTTCTCTTTATTCCACTTATAACAATATTTCTTAATATGCCTTATTTTATCATAATAATGACATTCAAGGTTTTTGTACCTTGATTTTGATTTGCTCCTGCTCTTGCTTCTATTCTGATCTTAACCCTTACTTTTACTTCTCCATCTATTTTCAATAACCAAGATTTCTAACTGTGAACTAGATGTTCCCTGAGTTCTTCTTCTCATTTTTTTATTCAAAACACCAGTCCTTGCTACTGCATAGTTAGAACACCATCAAGAGCAGAATTAGTAAAAAATACATGAAAATTTTTCCATGAGTCATTAAGTGTAGTCAACAACCAAAGTCTAATAATATTTTCATCAAATTTGACACTCATACTAAACAGTTGATCAAAGATACC